AGAGAGAGAGCGAGAGAGAAAGAGAAAGAGAGAGAGAGAAAGAGAAGAAGAGAAAGAGAGAGAGAGAGAGAGAGACGCGTCGAGTCCACAGACGCACATCAGAGAACAACACAGATCATGACAGCTACTTGGTGTCTTATATTGAGTCATTTTATTCAGATACAGACATGAAACTGTGGATTTCTCCACAATGAAGGCTGTCAGCGTTGTGTACACGTGCTTGTGCTCGTGCATGAAGTGTACTGTGCCTGAGCACGGCACGGAGCGGTCACACTGGTCAAACTAACTGGACTTTAGCGTTGAAGTGTGCTTGGCACGGTACGGATGGCCAGTGTGACCGTGCCCTTACTCTGACCTGCCATCTTACAAAGATATGACAGATTTCACACCCCTGTTTCTCCACCAGTAACTGCTGTCTTAATTGTTTCTGGGTTTCAGGTATTTCGCTTGTTTTTTCCACTTTTTCTATGAATTTTCAGACTGGTTTGCCTAAATTTGTTAGTTTATATTGTGTTGTTATATTGTGTACCAACATTATTTTAATTATACAAGCCCTCCTTGCTGTGAGAGTAAGAAATTCGCAATTATGAGCAACAGACAATCAGGCTAGCAGGTGGATTATGCAGGACCCCTCACACGCTCTCTTCCAGCGTTTGAGTGGCTCCCCTCAGGACGCCGGCTTCGCTGTCCCTGCTGCAGGACACAGAGGAGAAGAGCAACCTTTGTCCCCAGGGCTGTCCAGCTCCTCAACTCCTAACCCCCCAACAGACACCAACACCTCTCACCCAATGCAGACTCTCAGCTGTGAACTTCCTTTATATTTGACATGCACCTTAACTGCCTCTGCTTTATCTGCTCTCATGCACTACATCACTTTATTCTATCCCTTTTATATCAGTATTCATACAGTTCTGGTTCATTTATTCCTGTTGTTTCTTATCCATCATTACACTACGGTCACTTTATTTATCTAATTCTTACCTTACAGTTATATTGTATATATTAGTTCTGTTGTTCCATTATTCACCATGCACCTTAATAACTTATCATTTAGTATTTAGCCTACTTGCACATAGTTCTGTATATATATATTTATTTCTCGTTTACTGCACATAGTTCTGTTTACATCTGTTTACATCTGTTACTCCGATCACTGTCCACTTATATCTACTCTTTTATATTTTGTATTTTAAGTTAAGTTTAAGCTTTAAGTTGTATTTAAATTGACACTTTATATTGAGGTTAAAATGTTTCGTTTACTTGCACTGTTGTTAATTTACTGCTCTGTGTGCCTTTGAATTACCCCCCGGGGACAAATAAAGTTTTTTGAATTGAATTGAATTGAATTGAATAAGATGCTTAATTCTTCAAAGTAAAGGTTCTTATTGAGAAATAATTTCAGTTTTAGATGATTTAATTTTCTTCTTGTTAGTGTATTTCATGCTACCAGAGTAAAATAGAGAGTGATGGCAGAAAGAAGCTGGGAAAGTGTAAATCACACCTGGAAGTCGCATGTTTGGGTTCATGCCATTGAAAGAGGAAAGAAGGGACATGAAGTCATCGTGACATTAGAGACAAAAGTACTGAAGAAACTCTAAGTTGTTCATAGACCACAAAAGAATAAAGATAAAGAAACAAACTGACCTCCAGACCAGACAAACTTTGGTTCACTATAAGGAGTGTTCATTTCTCCTCTTCCAGCTCTGCACACATATCCTGCTGTGTGTGTCTGTCCATGAACAATGAAGGAATACTTTTCAGTTCCATCTCTGCTTCCAGATAGCAGCTGGTAGCTGTAGGAGTTGTAGGAGTTGTAGGAGTTGTAGGAGTTGTCAGATAGTTTGGGAATAGCTTCATACCAGTAGAACCTCCATCCTGCTGATGGGTGTTTAACCTCACAGTTCAGAGTCACAGAGTCTCCAGGACTCAGCCAGAGTGGAGACACGGTGAGGACAGGCTGGGGTGAACCTGTTGGAAAAGTGATTATTCAAAGAAATAAAACCATGTAATGATGGAATATCTGATAGTACAGTATAATGTTTATATGAAAGAAATGTTACTTACTGTATAAAACCGTTAATGTGATGGGATCGCTCCAACCTGTTGGAGACTGGTCACTTTTTTTTCTGCCCTTACAACTGTAGTTTCCACTGTGTGATGTATTAGCAGGTCCAATACTGTATTCCTTTTCCTTTGGAGGTTTGAATGAGCTGCTTGTTTTCCACTCGTACTCCCACTCAGAGTTGTCTCCACCCTCGATTTCACATCTCAAAGTGATCTTCTCTTCCGTGTATATCTCAGTCCAATGGGGCTGAAGAGTCACAACAGCTCTGTCTGATACTGTTTGTGTTCAAGAGATCCCAACAAGGACACAATGATGATAAAAAATAAACATCTTTAGCTTTTTTTTATCAATCAATTTATGGATAAAAAACATTATTACAAGTTTTCAAAAATGTTACACTCACAAATGATGTTGATAGTGACTGAATCACTGTACTCTGTGTAGTAAACTGGTTCTCCTCTCTCTCCTCTGCACCAGTAGACTCCTCCCTTGGAGACACTGATTCGTCCATTGAAGTTTTTACCATCATCGTGTGTGCCCGGGTGATCTCCTCTGAACAAGATGTACGTCCAGCCAGGTGATGGAGGGTTCACGTCACAGGTCAGGGTCACAGCGCCCCCTGCTGGAATTGATGTCCTGTCAGCTCTCAGTTCAGCCTTTGGTGTTCTTGCTGTTTGATTTGGAAACAAAGATGTAAAAAGGTAAATTACCGTACCTACAATTTGGTCAAATTCAAACAGTGCTGAGCCCAGAAGTAAAAATGACTTGAAGAATTATGAGCTGAAACTAGTGTTAAGATTTATCTCTTAAATTATATTAAATTTAAAGTAGTTCAATTCCAGAAAAGACCCAAATCATGTATCACTTTAAAAAACAACATCAATCAATCAAATGTATTCATAAAGCACATTTAAAAAAACAAGACAAAAACTCACACATACATATGTGCCCAAACACAAATGCACACACAGAATACTAACAATATAATCAGACTATAATATTAAATGATATTTGATAGAAATACATCAGAAAGAAATACAAGCAACCTAATTAGGACTCAAAAGCCAACATGTAAAAGTGTGTTTTGAGGCGTGACTTAAAAGACTCCACAGAGGGGGCAGACCCTGACTGAGGGAGGAAGGCTGTTCCACAACCGTGGGGCCTTGACTGCAAAGGCTCGGTCGCCTCGAAGTTTATAACGGGAAGGCGGGCCAGGAGGCGGGGCCAGGAGGCGGGGCCAGGAGGCGGAGCCAGGAGGCCCATGTTTGAGGATCTGAGATACTTTTCTCACTTTGACACAGCAATCATAACTTAGGAGAGCTCTATCAATATCAACAAACATCTTCTTTGTCAAATGTGAATAACTTAGCCAATATTTATAAGAAATTATTCAGACACTGTTAGTGACATCAAAATTCACTGTTTTAAATCATATTAAGACATATTTTAAGCAGATTACAAAAGATGTGATAGTCTTAAGTTTCTCAGTTATTTTGTTACCATGCTGAAAGTTAAAAAATAATTTGTCACAGCTCCCTGCAAAGACTTTAAGCAAGCAATGTTTTGTTTTCTCATTTAGATGAAATCATTTCCACCTGGACATTTTAATTATTGACAACATGGTTCAACTTACGTGTTACAGTCAATTTGAAGGGTTCACTCCAAGGCGTGTCGGTAGAATTAGGGAATCCTCTTCTGCCGATGCACTCATAGTCTCCGTTGTCAGAATCAGTGGCTCGGCTAATAATGTATTTATTGTCTGTTGTATGTTTGTCTGAACTGGATGTTCTGTCTCTTCTCCATCCAAACGTCCATTCAGAGTCTCCACCTCCCTCAATCTCACATCTGAGAGTGAGGGTCTCAGCCCAGAATGTTTCAGGCCAGTTGGGTGTAATGGTCACAAGGGGACGGTTACCTGTTCACATCACAAAGAAACAGGATTGGAAAAAAAATAAAAAATAGAAAATATTACAGTTTTCATCCATGATCCTTATTGTAATGATTTAAATGTCTGTACAATATAACTGTAACAATAATGACACAACAATAATGTTGTAAATGGTTTTAAAGTAACGTATAAAGCAGTGTTAAAAGAAGCAGCTGTTGAAGAGATATAAGAGCTTACAGAGTCACAACAGTTTCTAGAAATACCAGCAGCTTTCCATGGTGAGGACAGAGTCGAGTCAAAAGAGAAAACTAAAATACATAGCTTAAAAAAAAACATTTTCAGTTCATGTTCGAGGACATTTTCTTCTAAAACTTAAGAGATAATACATAAACACAAAACACTACATGTGGATGATGTTAAAGAGATGAAGTAGGTAATAAATAGAGGAACTGCAGAAATATTTAAAAAACAAAAATCAGAAATATAAGACAATCACTTACCTCGAGCCAATCCGTGGGGGATCAAATTCAGCACTAAAATAAAGATCAATAGTTCATCAGGGAAGAATTAAAGGTGTTAAATCCAGATAGAGTTTCATTTTAGGTAACTGTTATTGTCAAAACTTTCAAAAACGAGATGGTTCATCTCAAGGGGCTATCCATCAATAAACAGAATTTCTCACAAAACAACAAACGTTTGCAGCCATTTCAATCCTAAAGCTTTTTTTTCCCAAACTATCGACTATTTACTGTTCACGCCTTGTTCAAATGTTGTACAAACAGCAAGTGCTTAACTCCTGTTGTATTATTCAAACAGCTGAACTACATGTTCATAGAAACATGACTCGCTGTTTGAAAGTCACAAAACTTAAAGAGCTCTGATGTACTCACAGAAAAACCCCAGCACACAACGCAAGGTTTGGTCCATCTTCACATCCAAAACGACAATGAAACTCTGACGCTTAGTTTTAAAATAAAACATTAACTTTACATTTCTAATAATGCAGAAGGAAAAGAGGAGAAAGACAAGTAACAGTTCATTAAAATGTGAGAGCAGAGTTTCTCTCGGACTTCTGTCTCTGTACTTCCTTCCCTATTGCACTTCACACAATTCTAAGAAGTGCCAACATCAACCAACTTGTTTACACTTCCTGTCTACTGCTCGAATAAGAAAGAGATCATGTGAAATGGCTTCTGTTAGGGGTTAAATAAATAAATAATGGCACTAATAACTAATTATTGCACATCCATGAAACATAATGCCAATAACTTTAAGACCACATACACACCTAACATTTCTAGTGTTCTATGTGCTGCATGTTATTCCAAATATATTATATTATTATATTTATTTGTGTTGTGTTTTTATAAACAAAATAAATAATGATTTTCAATACACAATATATGAGTGTACTTGTCTAACACACCCTGGTGGCAGAATTACAAAAAGAATGCCATCTAATGATTCACATGATCATTAATAAATAATAACCCACGACTGATCTGGTGCACTGCCTGCATAGCAGTGTGTAGCAGCCCCACTCTGACTTCTCTCCACTAATGCACGTCCACAGGTCCTGTTTGAACATGTGTGTGATTCAGGTCAATGTGTGTGAGAAGCATGTCTCTCAGTAAATCATTTTAAAATAACAATTCAAATTCAAAAAACTAAAGCCACAGTAAGATGGTGAAAAAAAAGAAGCAAAACCTCAACATGCAAATGTTCCCACATTGTGTTAGAGTTCTAGTTTCTAGTTTGTTTGAAGCCCACAACACCGGAAACACTAACTGCTTATTGCCCATGAGAATGTTTTCAGGTTGTTTTCATTAACAGAAAAAAGAAAACAAAAAGATAACAATTGTCATGTCCAGCTCAGGGTCTTAGGTTGTTTTTATTTCTATCTTGTTTTATTTTCTGTTTTGGGTCACTAACTTCTCTCGTTTCAGATCCGTCACTTCCCGCCCTCATGTGTTTCCCACCTGTGTGATTGTCTGCCCCGCCCTGATTGTTCCCAGCTGCATCTCGTTGTCTTCCCCCTCACCCTACTATTTAGTCTGTAGCTTCCCTTCCTTCTGTGCCAGTTCGTCTTCGACACCTGTGAGAAGCGTTCAAGCCTTTTGTTTCCCCTTTGATCACTTTTTTGGATTGTATCTTCTTCAAGAGTAAAGACTGTTTTTGTTTTTTTTCCCATCAAAGACTGAGTCGTGCTTTTGGGTTCACTTACCTGTGGTGTTGTTACACTCTGGAGAAAGAGAGTCTGATGGCTGTCCAAGGTGAGACACATCAGTGTTACCAAATCAAATTTAAAAATACATGTGATATAACTATGTGTTGAAACAGTATATTGATTGATTTGAAAAGGACAGCGTACATTAATCAACATACAGACGGATGTAAATGTACTTCCATGTGAGATGGGTCTTATAAATGACCTGACACAAAAATAAAATATTAATTTATTCATGTACCCAAGTTAGCAGAAGGCTATTTTTTGGCTCAGATCCTCTTCATCCCTTTGTAGGTTACCCGGTGAATCTGTGGTCTCTTATTGACAATGATTCAAGAGAATTGTGCTCGAACTTTACACCACGAGAAGGCGTGCATTATTTCTATTTCTGTCTTCTTTGCAGAGTCACACCAAGAGAGTCGTGCGTCCTCAGATCTTCCATTCATCATCTTCAGAAACATTCTCCCTGTAGTAATGATGGCTTTGCTGCTGGTGCTGCTGGGACGGCTCCACTGTGGGGAACTCCGAGGTAAACCCACAGGTAAACAACAGCACCTCATGTGCACTCAAATCAAGATGGTGAAATAAAGGATACGACAGGATGAACGACAAAGACAGACATTTTCTCCAAAGTCTTGTTTGGTTGCCAGAAATGAAGAGCATCCCATAATGCGTCATTCAGCTCCTCAGCTGCTGTCTTCCATGTGTTACAGTGCACCTTGTTCATTATATGTAATGATGATCCACTTAAATTCAGTGCATGTTGTGCAAACCAATGAAAACATTTTTAATCAGCTTAAAGAATCCAATCCATAGAAATGTTTTGACATGAGCAGATCAAAGAAAATGGCAGCACTTCCTCTTTGACAGGCTTAATGCAAACATACCAGTAACAGTGATGTAAAGTTCGAGCGCAATTCTCTTGAATCATTGTCAATATGAGCCACAGATTCACTGGGCAAACTATAACGGGATGAAGAGGATGTGAGCCAAAAATTAGCCTTTGGCTAACTTGGGTACATAAATAAATTCATATTTTATTTTCGTGTCAGGTCATATTTAAGACCCATCCCACATGGAAGTACATTTACATCCCTCTGTAAGATGATTAATGTACGCTGTCCTTTTCAAATCAATCAATATACTGTTTCAACACATAGTTATATCACATGTATTTTTAAATTTGATTTGGTAACACTGATGTGTCTCACCTTGGACAGCCATCAGACTCTCGGCTGATTCTCTTCCTCCAGAGTTACAGTTGTAGAATCCTTCATCACATTTGGAAACACTGGGGATGCTCAGGTTTCCTGTAGAGCTTCTTCTGATAAGGCGGCCATCTTTGTAGAAATCAGCTGAGAGATTGGTAGAGGTCGTCTTGTGTCTGCAGCGCAGAGTCACAGTCTCTCCCTCTACCACACTGATGGGACTCTCCAGGATCACAGGACCATCTGAACAACATGGGGTTCATATTTTATATCACACAAAGATGAGTGCATGTAAAGATCTCGTCTTCATGCAAACATACCAGTAACAGTGATGTGGATGATGTCGCTTCTCTTCCCATCTCTGGACTCACACCAGTATTGCCCACTGTCCTCTGGAAAAATAGTAGGAATAGTGCAGGATGACCTTTTTGATGTCACTGTAGTTTGACTTTTGAATAATTCCCCTTTGGACCGATGTAAAATTTTCAATCCAGTCGAGTCATGAGAGCCCTCACAATGGAAGATCAGAGACTCGTATTCAAAGAACTGCAGTCTGTTTGGTTCAAGACGGAGAATCAGTGAATCTGAAACAAACCAAAGAAAGATATGTTCTCTTATTTCACCAGAAATACCAACTGTTACCAAGTTAAAATAGAACTAAGCATCAACCTGGTACTTACCAACGTCCTGAACATGTGCACACAGCAGAAATAACACGTGGACCACTGGAATAACAAAAGAGAAGAGCTCCACATTGAGTGAGACGTGTTTTAACAGTCGTATATTCAACTGATTCTTACAGCTCCTAAAGCTGCCTTTGATGTTTGACTTTTACATTTTTATCTTTCAGGCCAAAAACCTCATATAAATATTTTGAACCTGAAAGTCTTTCCAAGCCCCAAGAGAACCCTCTGCATTAAACCATAATTTCCATCCTAACCTTGAACGACTACACTCTTTAGTTTTAACCAATCGTACTCACAGAGTTTGATGCAGAGCACGGCGACCTCCATGTTGACTGTCTGAACACCAAGCTGAACTGAAGTGTAACTGAGGAGGGGCTTCTTCCTGTGTGGTCTATTTATGCTGCTCATGTTCCCCTAAGTTTGACACTTGGATTTTTTTCAAAACAACGTTCACACTAACTGAGCTGCTGTGGTGGTGGTAAAGCCTCAGTTGATAGATTAGCGTCATTGGGCGGAGCCAAAGAACGAAGCGGACTGCTATGATGTGAAAACATTGACACAAACACGTAAAGTCAGACAGTTTGAAATAAAAAGGTCAGCTGTTAAACATGAAACACAAGGTATCTGCAGACACACCTGCAAGGCAGTGTCAGAGCTGAAACTATAAGCCCTCACCCTTCCGTCACTTTAATCATTTGATGGTCAGGTGTTGCTGCTGTGAGCTGGAAACAACCTGCAATAGAACCGTCCACACAGTTTAAAGCAACAATATGGACGACTTTCAGCGTTTTCCAAGTCCTGCTGGGACACATGTCCTCTAATTCTTCATATATTCTACAGCTGATAATAAGCCAACTTTGTAATTGTCTTTAAGTAACAATATGTTGGAATTTGTGCTGCTCCTCCCCCTCATGGCCAACATGCATTTGTTTGACAATCAGAGGCCGGAGAAGTCGACAAAGACTTTGCAGACTGATGAGGTTCAGTTATACTACAGGAACCCTTAGTTTGGGGCTGACTGAAAACACGGGACACAAAATGACGGGAGGAGACTAGGAGGTACTCACAAAAGTATGTCATATTTATTCACAACAAAGTGAATGCGTCGATTAAAGAAGGATTGTGAGGATGTGGACGTCAGCTAATCGACCTTGTAAGGGTGTATGCATGAGTGGAGGTATGGTGAGCGAGGTGTGCTGTGGAAAGTCAAACAAAAGGAAAGAGCAGCATGGTTGAACTGGGGGAACAGTCTTTCTCCCTGCCCCCCACCCCAATGAGGAAGTGGGGCCTGCTCTTAGCGACTCAAAGGTACAAATCTGTGTTCTCATTATAAATATCACTGAGAATACGTAGAAGTTTGACTGTTTGAGCTTTGTTGGTAATGAATGAGAGTTTAACCCTAACCCTAAACATGCTAGGGGTAGCAGTTTGGGCCATTACCCCCTTTCCCTAACCACAGTCCAGCTGATGGCAAGGCACCTTTTCTGCATAGCCATTCCTGATAACATCTGTGAAGAAGCTGGTATATTCCTTGTGATATAGCTCATCTTTCCTGAACTTCCCTTTTAATCCCATCAGCCTTTGCTTGACCATTGAGAGATTATTTGGAAAAATGGGCAGATTTTTCCTGAAGGGCATTCTCAGGCTGTAATGTCCATCCTGAAGCTTTGCTGACTTGTCCATTATCTCTAGGAACTTGAGGTCCTCTCTTGACATTGCCCTTTCCTCTGAACTCTTTTCATTGAAGTCATGGTTGTATTGGTTGCTTAGCATTTCCTCCAACTTGCATACAGAGATCCTATTTACAGCAGCCACTGAAAACCCTGTTTTAGGTTTGCTGTTCTCTCCGTCTCGAAGGGGACCATTAACCACCCAGCCTAATACAGTTCTTATGGCATACGGGTCATTTCCCTGGCTGTTGACAACCTCCCACGGCTCCAATACCTTGGGGACGTTGGTACCAATCAACAAGTCAACATTGGCATCTATGCAAGGAATTTTGACATCAGAGAGGTATGGCCACTTTGCTAGCTCTTCCTGTTTGACAACATTGCTAGTGGTCACAGGCATTTTACTTTGAGTGAGAACTTCTGGTAGTCTGTAAAAGAAGTTACTGTCAAATCAGCAACCTCCAGACCATTCAGGGCACAAGTCGCAAACAATCTTCTCTTGTCCCATAGTGTGTAAAAGGAAGTTAGTTCTTCTTCCAGTAATGTTCAACCTCTGCATAAGACGCTCTGAACAGAATGTAGCTGTACTGCCAGGATCAAGAAACGCATATGTTTGAAGGATTCTGTCTCCTTTGATGGCTTTAACCTGGACTGGCAGAATAGACAGGATGCTGTCCTCCTTTATGACCCCTGTATGACCACAAGTTTCTGAGGAAGCTGGTGTGATGTATGGTTTTTCCTTTGATTGTTCACTTTCTGTGCTGGCTCTTGGCTTTGAGATATGAAGAACAGTTGGATGGTTTTGACCACAAACTTTGCAAGTCAAGCGCCTGTCGCAATCCTTGCTCCTGTGTCCAATACACAGGCATCCAAAACACGCCCCTTTCTCCTTTAAAAAGACAATTTTATCATGATGTTTCTTCTTTTCAAGCTTTGGACACTCGTCCAATTGGTGAAACTGAGAACAGCACACACAAGTGTGTTTAGACCTTTTCAAGGAATCCTGCCTTTCTGGGACTGACCATGAACTCCCAGATTCCTTGGTTGTGTCAACAGCTGTGACTGTAGTTGCAAAGCTGTTACCTTTGACTCTGCTGAACTTGGGCTGTGACTTGAACCTGTTAACACTCTTCGTGGCTAAACCACATTGTGTGTCCTGGATGTCTCCAAAAAGAGGGTCAGAAACAATCTTTACCTGATGTTCAATGAACATGACAAGATCCTTGAATCGAGCTCTGCAGTTGTGCCTCTCCAAGATCTCATGTGCTTTTGTCCTCCATCTTTCTCTGAGCTTGAATGGAAGTTTTGTCATTATTGCTCTCATATTGGTTGGCATGTCGAGTTCTTGCATATATTGAAGCTCCTCCATGACATTACAACAACCACGCAGAAACAGAGCAATGGCTTGTAGTGCTTTTACGTCCTCTGACTTTATTGCAGGCCAAGCCAGGGCCTTCTCTATGTAAGCCGCAGCAATCCTGTACCCATTTCCAAAGTGCTCTTGTAGAAGCTCTTTAGCCAGTTGGTATCCTCTGTCAGGACTCGTGCTGACAACTCCTCACCAGCTCTCTTGGCTGTCCTCTTGTAAACTGTTCCAGAAAATAAAGGCAGTCAGCTTTGTTAGCATTTGATTCAACAGCATGCTCAAAAGCTTTAATGAAGTTTCTATACTGAAGTGGATCACCGTCGAACACTGGGATGTCTCTAGATGGTAAAGACATGACACGTTGCTGTTGAACGAGAGCTTCTGTTATTAATTCTGTCGATGCATTATAGTGACTATGTCTCCTTGCATTTGTAGAGAATGTGTATGCTGTTGTTGCTCAATATGATCCATAGGCAAAGAGGGGGTTTGATGTTGTTCTGTTCCATACTGTTCTGTTCCATGCCATTCAGTCTTGTTTTCCAACTTTGTCTCATGCTTTGATCCAAAGATGCATTGCTTCCTGTTTGCACCAGGCTGAGTGTTCTGTGCACTTGTTTCATTATGAGGTACAGGGGAATTCCTTTGTTGCTGTGCTCCATGTCAAGGGTTCATATGTCTTTGCTGCAGGATTGAGACCTTTTGAAGTTGTTTGTTGTCCATTTTTCCTTTCAAAATAAGACTTCATCCCATTTGATGATGCTTCAGAGTCTCCTGAACAATCTGAAGCAGCTTGTAAAACAGCCAGTTTTGCTGTGGATGCAGCTATTTCAGCATCAAGGGTGAGCTGCTCCCTTCTTCTTCGTAACTGTTCCTCCTGGGCCTCCAAAGCATGCTTTTCCTTAAGTATTGCAACACGAGCAAGAAGTGCAGCTTTTTCTGCCTGTACTTTGATACAGGAAGAGGATTTACTTTTACCACTGGCTGCACTTTTGCGGTTAGAGTGTTTACTGGTAACATTTGATATGCTGTCATCAGGTCTGACATCATCAAAAGGGTTCACATCAACATCATCATTATTGTCATTGTTTGTCAACCAATTTTCAACATCAGAAATGAAAACCTTCTCAGCAAGCATTTTTGCAGAAAACCATGTATCTTGTTTATCCCTTTCATCAGTGGGCATTAAAGGCACCAGAGAATCATGCGCAACTTTTGCTTCCCCACACAGACAAACCATTTTTTCAAGTGTACATTTTACCTCTTTCACCCTGCTGCGCTGCATGAGCTCCGGAGTAATTTTTCTTAGATTTCTGGCCTTATTTAATTGATCTTTTCTTATATTTTGTAGCCTTTCTACCTTTTCAGCCAGAGCTTTGTAAGTTAATTTAACAGATCTTTTTCCCTTTACAGACTGTGTTTTATTAACGTTACCCATTTCCGCTGCAGCCGCAGCAGGATCAGCTGTTCGAGCTGCCGCCGGATCAGCTGTGCGCGCAGCTGCCGGCTCGTCAGTTTTACCGTCCATTATGTCCCCGTTTTGTTTATATTGTTCCATAACGCACGTCCAGCACGAACATTACAATCGATCACAAAGTTCAGTCTTATTTCGCAACGATCAGTTTATTTTTGGCGACCAATGCATTGGGATTACGCTCGCAAAGTTGTGTGCACACATTTAAATATGGCCATAAACCTGGTAGCGCTACACATACCTCAGAGCCGGTGGGCGCCGTTGAGTTGGACTGGTCTGACAACGATACCTGATGATCGGCGTCCTCCTCGTAACCAAACGATGCACCCGGCGTCCTCCTCGTAACCAAACGATGCACCCGGCGTCCTCCTCGTAACCAAACGATGCACCCGGCGTCCTCCTGGTAACCAAACAAGTCTTGGGGAATCCAACGTTGAATCTGCCTCTATGCAACGATGGCGTTCTTTCACGTTCTTTCAGCTTCCAATTGTCCAATTTAAAGCTAAGTTTTTGACTTAATGTAGTGGCTTGATCTTACGTATCAAAAGTTTGAGCCACTGAGGGGCTGATAGCCTACCGTACTGTTTCCGTGTTTTCGTGGCAATAATTCAATCAACTCCGTGCTGTCACACTCAAAACGGGTTTATCTGAATCGTTCATTTACAATACATATTCTGGTTGTCTACATACACTTATTCCACAATAACTTGAATGTAAAAACAAAGCCAGGATAAATGTTCCATTCACGATACATTTCAACAGCGGTCAAAAACTGTGTGCCTCTCACGGTGGGCTGCTCACCTGTCCGTGATTAACTCTTCCTCTACTTGTAACCTTCCCAACACCAAAGTGAATGTGCCCCCTACTGTCACCACAAGGAACTACCACAGAGCACACATACATACTGAACACACAAATGGCTCTAACAGGCATTAAAAATTAATATCGATTTCCAAGTCGAGCAATTATACCCACAAACTGAACATTTTCTCTTTCTCCAAAGAACATGAATTCTAAATTACTATAATTAATTAATTTGTCTTTTTCTAATGAGGACTGAAGGACAACAGATTTACCTTTTCACACTTCAAAGGACATTTGCTCTGATTATCGTCGATAAGACGAGCAGGCTGCTTTTTTAAAAATCTATCACTCCTTTATTTTAAGCACAAGGTTACCTGAACATGCTCATGGTACCTGTTCTTACCTGTTTGAACTTCAGTTATGCCTGACTGAGGTGCCAGTGTGGACAAGTACAGCAACACTGCAGTGCATGAAATGAAAAAGAAACCCACTATGAACAGGGAACCAGGAAGACATTGAGACATGATGAAACAATAACGCCACTTCCTGGTTTAAAAATGTTCAGTGGTCTTGCTTTGTTCATGTTTTGTTTTTTCACAGCAGATATTCATCAAATATAGTTATAAATTAAAAAGGTGGTTATAACCAACCATTCACGTAATAAGTTCTGTTTAACTATTCTGGTCTGATGAAAAGTTGAAAAAGGTGCTGGCATTCTCAGCCAGAAGAGGCGGAGGCGACACATAAGGAGGGGTCTGTGGGGAAATATTTTCAACCCTAACCACAAACCATGTATCGCATTAGCAGCAGAAATCCTCACCTCGTGGACACTTCAGTCATATGTTCAAAGAGTCAACATGGAGGTCTGTGCTCTTAACCTCAGGCTGTGTGAGTATGATTCTTTATCTGTTTCATAGATATTTCCGTACCTGTTTTTATGAGATCTAACGTACAACTCTTCTTCTTTCCAGTGATCTGTGTGTTATTCCTGCTGGGTGCACATGTTCAAGATGTGGGTATGTACCGTTAACTTTCTCAATGTTATTGTTCAAATGCTTCATTTTGGTATTTTGTATGACATAAGAGAACATGTCTTTCTTTGGTTTGTTTCAGATTCACTGAGTCTCCGTCTTGAACCAAACAGACTGCAGTTCTTTGAATACGATTCTCTGATCTTCCATTATGAGGGCTCTCATGACTCGACTGAAAATTGTACATCGATCCAAAGGGGAATTACTCAAATGTCAAACTACAGTGACATCAAAAAGGTCATCCTGCACTATTCCTAATGTTCTTCCAGAGGACAGTGGGCAATACTGGTGTGAGTCCAGAGATGGGAAGAGAAGCAACATCATCCACATCACTGTTACTGGTATGTTTGCATTAAGACGAGATCTTTACATGCACTCATCTTTGTGTGATATAAAATATGAACCCCATGTTGTTCAGATGGTCCTGTGATCCTGGAGAGTCCCATCAGTGTGGTGGAGGGAGAGGCTGTGACTCTGTGCTGCAGACGCAAGACGACCTTACCCAGTCTCTCAGCTGATTTCTACAAAGACGCCTGCCGAATCAGAAGAAGCTCTGCAGGAAACATGAGCATCCCCAGTGTTTCCAAACGTGATGAAGGATTCTACAAGTGTATCTCTGGAGGAAGAGAATCAGCCGAGAGTCTGATGGCTGTCCAAGGTGAGACACATCAGTGTTACCAAATCAAATTTAAAAATACATGTGATATAACTATGTGTTGAAACAGTATATTGATTGATTTGAAAAGGACAGCGTACATTAATCAACATACAGACGGATGTAAATGTACTTCCATGTGGGATGGGTCTTATAAATGACCTGACACAAAAATAAAATATTTATTTATTTATGTACCCAACTTAGCCAAAGGCTAATTTTTGGATTACATCCTCTTCTTCCCTTTGTAGTTTACCCGGTGAATCTGTGGTCTCAAACTGACAAAGAGTCAAGTAAATTGTGCTAGAACTTTACATCACGAGAAGGCATGCATTATTTCTATTTCTGTCTTCTTTGCAGAGTCACACCAAGAGAGTCGTGCGTCCTCAGATCTTTCGTTCATCATCTTCAGAAACGTTTTTCCTGTAGTAATGATGGCTTTGCTGCTGGTGCTGCTGGGACAGCTCCACTGTGGGATAACTCCGAGGTAAACCCACAGCTAAACAACAGCACCTCATGTGCACTCAAATCGAGATGGAGCTATTGAAATAAAGGATACGACGGGATGAACGACAAAGACAGACATTTTCTCCAAAGTCTTGTTTGGTTGCCAGAAATGAAGAGCATCCCATAATGCTTCATTCAGCTGCTCAGCTGCTGTCTTCCATGTGTTATAGTGCACCTTGTTCATTATATGTAATGATGATCCACTTATATTCAGTGCATGTTGTGCAAACCAATGAAAACATTTTTAATCAGCTAAAAGAATCCAATCCATAGAAATGTTTTGAAATGAGCAGATCAAAGAAAATGGCAGCACTTCCTGTTTGACAGGTTTCACATATTTAATTCACTTGTTGGTGAATGTTCAAGAGATGTTCGTTCTTCTGAAGATATGACATGAAGATATCACAAGTCAAATAACACTGTGCACAGTTTGTTTCAGTGTCTTTCTATATTTAATATTCACATCTGAGACCACGTCTTCTCTAACCCTGACCCACGAGCCGCAACTCATCTCAGCGTTATTTATAGAGCACCTGTCATACGTAAAGTCTGTGAGCCCATAATGTTTGTGTGAACACCGTCACTGTTACAAAAGGACCCGAGATTAAAATTGTCTTTAAAACCCACATCATGTGCTGCCCAAGCAATCAGCAGGTGCAGCTCAGAGCTTCACTTCCTGCTCATATCTAAATAAAATATCGACCTATGATACAAACATTTGTGATGGTAACATGAACATTTAAACTGTAATATTCCACTGAATGTTTTTATATCAACAACAATGCAAAACATGTCTGCCTCTCTGTAACAGCAGTTCACATTTTTATTAAAGATAAATAATGTCTTCTTTTTATGCAGTGTGGTCATTGTACAGCAGGGGGAACTCATTGTTAGTGTTGTACCAACATTAACCCATTAATAACCAGCTATACTAAATTAGGTTTGTTCAGGAATAGTGTCTCAGATTTCTTTATGTTGGAGGTAGAAACTCGAAAATGGCGTTGGTGACTTAAAATGCTCGTGGCTACACAAAGCAAGGTGACCAATCTATTTCCAACACCTTGTTTGGTAGACAAAGTAATGTTCACAAAGGAAAACACATGCTAAATATTGTTCTGAGTCCAATGGTGGATACAAATTAAAGGTTAAAACAACCGTTTTATTCACAGTGAGAACCCATAAAGATAATCTGATTTTTAATTCATTCAAAGCTTTTTCTTTTTTTTCTGTGACAAAAAGTCAAAAACCTGCCACCTTCAAACCCTTCCCACTTGTGAACTCTTCTATAACTCTATGTACCTGAGTCATGTTTGTGTAAAAGAAAGAGAGAGAATGTACCGCTGTCAGCCGATCAGAATCAAGAACTCTTTTCTTGAAGGTCCTGGGTTTACTTCAGATTCTGTTCAGACATTCAGTCCCCAGATGGTGAAACTCATCTTTTCGTAGAGTCAGTGAAATATTGGAACTAATTAGCATTAGCATGTTAGCATGGTAATTTTTAACATATTAGCTTGCATTGTAATCGCATTCAGCTCAAAGCATTTGAGAGCTACTACCGTTACTGTCCACTCAAAAAGACGTTTTTGTTGAACATGTTGAATATGAATCAGGATTGCTGATAAGAAGACCCTGAGAAAATACTGTTTGCATGAAAGAATAAACACAAGTACACTTCTTTAATGGCACAGTTATTTTCTGTCTTCTCATATATGACATTTACAACCACGTTAGACTTAAAGTGTCAGACTCATTTTTTTATTTGGACTCGGTCAGTGTGCTTCAGATGAAAGTGAAGCTGCAGCATCAAGGTGGTGGTTGACCACAGTTTCACACTCACGTAAATACACACAGCAGATGGAACATGTGGGTTTAACTGTCACTAGATAATAACAGATAATACATCTGAAAATACAAACCACATCTCTTTAAAATATCTTTAAACATCAACACATGTAGGGCGCAAAGCATGAAAACCATTTCTACAATGTAAAATAAAATAAAAAGTGTTTTTTCACACATCAGGTTCAACCAAACGTCTCATGTGCTGCTCGTCCTTCATTCAGCCGTCACGTTGCGACCTGAAGACAGAAAGGGTTAACAGTTCTGAGCATACCACATTTATATGAAACATGGGTCGTATCATTCTGAGAAGCATGACAGCTAAAGTTTGAACGAAGCATGTAGGAAATGTTGCCTTAAGTGTGCTTTGGTTGAACATCAACGTCCAGTGACATAAACGTTTGAAAGCTGTAAATATGGGTCATGTTTTAAGTTCTGCTGTCCATCCTACAGATATGAATGTCAGTAATGTCCTGAGTCTTACCTACTGGATCAAAGAATAGAGGGGTTCCTGTGCCAAAAGGTCGGTTGGTACCAGCTGAGTGAACTGTCGCCGTCATGGTTCTGGATACTCCTTGCTCTGTTTTGAATATAGATTGAATTATCTCACAGTGTTGCCAAAATACTTAGTAGAACACTTGAACATCAGGCACCATTTAGTTTACGTTTTTATTACAATAAGTCTCACCCAGTTGTTGAGTGTCACTTGGGTCACCCAAAGTGGAAGTTATTCTAAGCTACAGTTATGACTTCTTTGTTTAAGCTTGAAACGTTTCACCTTATTTAGCACAGTATTTGACTATTTTAATGAAATGAAAGGAATTCGTTGCTTTAACTTTTCTGATCTTTTGCTATCCTGTTATTTTGGGTTCTTGGAGGCTTAGGTTTGAATCCTATTTGTTAAAACTTTCCTAAATCCTGCTTCCTCTAATGTGTGTGATTTATTATTCATCAATATGCAGATGACGCCCTGTTCTATGTCTGTTAACTGTATTAAATCATTAGGCATTAAATCCAAGCTAGAATAATTGACTTTTTAAGTAACAATAATCAATAATGATAACTTTATTTGTAGTTTACAAAGTGCTATGTTATGCATATTCTCAGTGTTTGAACCTGAAGTGTACTTTTCACTTCTCTGTAGACTTTATCGGAGAATATGTCTGCAGCTGAATTCACCTTGATGACTACTTTAATTCTCATATAGAAATGAGCTGTTTTTGTTTCTCAGTGAAGAACTTTACCATTATGACTTTACCAAAGAGATAAAATAACACTACTTAAAGTTTCAACATCATTTTAGACCATGTATGTATCATAGGTATGTTGTATTTCCCTCAGGGATTAATAAAGGATATCAAAACATTATTTCTGTCCATTTCAAGGCCTTGAGATACAGACTCATGAAGCAGTCATTTAATGTTGTTAAACTACCCAGGTTCAAGAAGAAAGGAGTTTAAGATCAAGACATAGGATGGAGCATCGTGACTGTGAAATGAACTGTGACAGGATATACTGTCAGATGAGGTACCTCTCTTTGTCCTGTCTTTTGTAATCGCAGCATACATCGCTTGGTCGCTTGGTGCATCTGCTGCCACTCGACGGCCTCAACAGTGACTGAAAATACAAATGTGTGATAAGAATCCACATCGATACATACACAGGCCTTCGAGCAATCATATCCACAAACTGAACATTTTCTCTTTCTCCAAAGAACATGAACTTTCAATTAATGTGATTAAATAATTTGTCTTTTTCTAATGAGGACAGTGTGGACAAGTACAGCAACACTGCAGTGCGTGAAAAAAAAACACTATGAACAGGAACAGGAAGACATTGAGACATAATAAAATATAACGCCACTTCCTGGTTTAAAAATGTGCAATTTGCAACTAGGACTGACGGCCGACGATCTCCTTGGTGTGTCAGGGCCTTTAGAATCCATAAATGTGTTCAAGACCCCACTGTTATTAACTGGCCCATTCATCCATTAAATACATTCAACAAATGTAAAATGCAAATATTCCACGGGGACTGTGACCCATCAATCACTATAAGTGCCTCTTGTTAGTGAAATGTGTTTGTACCTTTGTTCTGAATATATTTGCCGAAATGAAGAAGTCCAACCAGCAACAACAGAATCGATAAAACAGTCATAACTATCCATGGGGTAGAACAGGATGAGATTCTCTCCCTGGTTTCTGGAATGTAATCACAAAGTAATCGAAGAACAATGACAGAGGACTTTTAGGTTTGGATGGATTGAAGATTAGAAGAAAAATTAAGATTTTAAACCTGAACATTTCAACTTTTAATATTAATGTAAGGTATGCAGTTTAATCGTGCACAATAAAAGTTTGTTAAAACTCTTGAATCATTGTCTCTATGAGACCACAGATTCACTGGGTAACCTACAAAGGGATGAAGAGGATGTAATCCAAAAATTAGCCTTCTGCTAACTTGGGTACATAAATAAATTATATTTTATTTTTGTGTCAGGTCATTTATAAGACCCATCTCACATGGAAGTACATTTACATCCGTCTGTATGTTGATTAATGTACGCTGTCCTTTTCAAATCAATCAATATACTGTTTCAACACATAGTTATATCACATGTATTTTTAAATTTGATTTGGTAACACTGATGTGTCTCACCTTGGACAGCCATCAGACTTTCGGCTGATTCTCTTCCTCCAGAGATACACTTGTAGAATCCTTCATCACGTTTGGAAACACTGGGATGCTCATGTTTCCTGCAGAGCTTGTTCTGATAAGGTGGCCATCTTTGTAGAAATCAGCTGAGAGATTGGATGAGGTCGTCTTGTGTCTGCAGCGCAGAGTAACAGCCTCTCCCTCCACCACACTGATGGGACTCTCCAGGATCACAGGACCATCTGAACAACATGGGGTTCATATTTTATATCACACAAAGATGAGTGCATGTAAAGATCTTGTCTTAATGCAAACATACCATAACAGTGGTGTAAAGTTCGAGCATAATTCTCTTGAATCATTGTCAATATGAGACCACAGATTCACTGGGTAAACTACAAAGGATGAAGAGGATGTGAGCCAAAAATTAGCCTTTGGCTAACTTGGGTACATAAATAATTAATATTTTTTTTTGTGTCAGGTCATTTATAAGACCCATCTCACATGGTACATTTACATCCATCTGTATGTTGATTAATGTACGCTGTCCTTTTCAAATCAATCAATATACTGTTTCAACACATAGTTATATCACATATTTTTAAATTTGATTTGGTAACACTGATGTGTCTCACCTTGGACAGCCATCAGACTCTCGGCTGATTCTCTTCCTCCAGATACACTTGTAGAATCCTTCATCATGTTGGAAACACTGGGGATGCTCATGTTTCTGTAGAGCTTGTTCTGATAAGTGGCCATCTTTGTAGAAATCAGCTGAGAGATTGGATGAGGTCGTCTTGCGTCTGCAGCGCAGAGTCACAGTCTCTCCCTCCACCACACTGATGGGACTCTCCAGATCACAGGATCAACAGGATCAACTGAACAACATGTGGTTCATATTTTATATCACACAAAGATGAGTGCATGTAAAGATCTCGTCTTAATGCAAACATACCAGTAACATTGATGTAAAGTTCGAGCATAATTCTCTTGAATCATTGTCAATATGAGACCACAGATTCACTGGGTAAACTACAAAGGGATGAAGAGGATGTGAGCCAAAATTAGCTTTGGCTAACTTGGTACATGAATAAATTAATATTTTATTTTCGTGTCAGGTCATTTATAAGACCCATCTCACATGGAAGTACATTTACATCCGTCTGTATGTTGATTAATGTACGCTGTCCTTTTCAAATCAATCAATATACTGTTTCAACACATAGTTATATCACATGTATTTTTAAATTTGATTTGGTAACACTGATGTGTCTCACCTTGGACAGCCATCAGACTCTCGGCTGATTCTCTTCCTCCAGAGATACACTTGTAGAATCCTTCATCACGTTTGGAAACACTGGGGATGCTCAGGTTTCCTGTAGAGCTTCTTCTGATAAGGTGGCTATCTTTGTAGAAATCAGCTGAGAGATTGGTAGAGGTCCTTGTGTCTGCAGCGCGCAGAGTCACAGTCTCTCCCTCCACCACACTGATGGGACTCTCCAGGATCACAGGACCATCTAAACAACATGGGTTCATATTTTATATCACACAAAGATGAGTGCATGTAAAGATCTCGTCTTAATACAAACATACCAGTAACATTGATGTGGATGATGTCACTTCTCTTCCCATCTCGGACTCACACCAGTATTGCCCACTGTCCTCTGGAAAAATTTAGGAATAGTGCAGGATGACCTTTTTGATGTCACTGTAGTTTACATTTGAGTAATTCCCTTTGGACCGATGTAAAATTTTCAATCCAGTCGAGTCATGAGA